GCGGCTGAATCAGGGATGCCTGGGGCAGAGCCGGACTATCGTAAGGGGGGGCTATGAGGGGTCTAGGGTGGCATCCCCTCCCACCCCACTCCAGACTCCTCATAGCACCCCCTTCTGATAGTCCGGCATATCTGATCATCCGGCACCTCCTGGGTCCTAAAGGTGCCGGATTATCGGAAGTTTACTGTACATAGCAATTTAAAAGTCATTTTTCAGCTCACCAATGCATCTCATTCCAATTTCTTTACCTACAGGAATGTCTCGAAATACTGAAACTAAGGCTATGTCTACAGTGCGGAGTTTTTCTGGGATCCTGGCAGTATCCTGGAAAAACTCCACCACATCCAGGGAACGCGTCTGTTCTTCTGACATTTTCTGTGCTCTTTCGGAAGCCCTGTAAACCTCATTTCCTGAGGAAGAAGGGCTCTTCTGAAAGAGAAGGTTTTTCTGAAATTTGGCCCAGTGTAGATGGGCCAAATTTCGGAAAAGCCTCTTCCAATAAATAAATAAATAAATAAATAAATGTACCTAAATTGTGGAGTGCAATTTGCGTACCTTTTTCTGAAAAAGAAGTGTAGTGTAGACATAACCTAAGAGAAAAAGTGTCAGCTTCACTGATCCTACCATACACCAAAAATGAACACATGGAATAAAAACTACTTGCTTAAGAAATCTTTTAAATTTATTACAGATAGTGTACTGATATAGATTCAAACCCTGCTGTTAAGATCAACAGGAGTTTAGTCAGTGTCTTAATCTGGAGCAGGTTCCAGCATCCATTTCTAGCTTAAGATACCGGTGTGTTAAGATAAAGCAGCCACAGTAATATTACTGATATATTGCTAATTTCCAGATTTGGTCCAGCAGTGTTTTACACACACAAAGAATCACTTTATACTGGGAGTTCTTTGAGATACAAACCCATCTTTTTACTTTTGTTTGTTACACATGTATTTTAAAACACATGAACTTCCTTAAAGAAGACTGCCTAAAGCTACACTGTGATTCTGATAAATCTATGAAAGCAAAGAACAACCCTGTTGAGGATCTAGCTCCAAAATACAAAGAATGGGCACACGGAGGGTGTCAGTACTAATTCTACGGACCTAGGCCAGTTTGCCTTGGGGCACCATCTCTACGAAGGGGTAACAGATAGTTATCACTGATAGGGATAACAGAAGCCTGCCAGAGAGAAAAGAAAAAGATAGGGCTCTGGTCTACTCAGATCAAGGGATGCTTAAGAGTACATTGGTCCATGGTGGTAGGAAACAAACAGCAGCCTGTTGAGTAGGGATGTAAAATTTTGATTAATCTGCTAGTTGAGTAGTCAATGGAATTTCCATCGACTACCATATTAGTCAATAAGGGGGGTGCTCGCTATCCCACTGTTCCTCTGCCTTTGAAATAGCGACGAGGAGTCCTGTGGCACCTTATAGACTAACTGAAGTGTAGGAGCATAAGCTTTCGTGGGCAAAGACCCACTTTGCCCACGAAAGCTTATGCTCCTACACTTCAGTTAGTCTATAAGGTGCCACAGGACTCCTCGTCGCTATTTCAAAGGCAGAGGAACACATGCATCTGACGAAGTGGGTCTTTGCCCACGAAAGCTTATGCTCCTACACTTCAGTTAGTCTATAAGGTGCCACAGGACTCCTCGTCGCTTTTACAGATTCAGACTAACACGGCTACCCCTCTGATACTTGTCTTTGAAATGTACACAAGCCACGGGTGGCTCATGTACATTTCAAAGGAAGAGGTGCAGCAGTGAACCCGTGCAAGCTGCCTGCCCCCCATGAGAGGCAGGAGCAGGGAGATGTCAGGGGGAACCTGCTGCAAAGCAGCCTGTGTCCGCAGCAGGCCTGGGCTCCCTGCTGTGCCTCTTCCTTTAAAATGTACAAGAGCCACAGGCTCCCCCCAAGCACTGGCTCCTGCCTCCCTCCCTTCCCCCAGCTGCCTCTGCAGGGGGGGACCGGCACATGTGGAGAGCCAGCTTAAAAGTATCAGCTCCCGTCTATCCCTGTCACCCTCCATGCTGCTGCCCCTCTATCAGAGGCAGCAGCACCAGGTACGCATGTAGTTGACAGGATTAACCAATAAGTCCTGGCTTATTGATTAATTGTGTAGTGGTTTACACATCAACATCCCTATTGCAGACAATACAAAATTATTCAGAATAGTTAGGTCCAAAACAGACTGCAAAGAGTTATAAAGGGATCTCACAAAACTACACAGGGATCTTACAAAACTGCTCCAACCCTCCAGAGTCTGCCATGGACAGCAGCTGCTTTGGGCCATCTGGAGCAACTTCTGTGTGCCCTGGCTGCTCTGACATCCAGAGAAGCCTCTGTCCACAGCAAGCCTGGGTACCCCACACCTTAATCAGTTAACCAGTTCCAGTTAAACAGGATTTTACACCTCCATTAGCCAAGATGATCCGAGATGCAACCCCATGCTCTGTGTCTCTCTAAATCTGTGACTGCTATGACACCAGCCACTGTTAGAAGGCAGAATACTGGGTTTAATGGACCAGTGGTCAGACCCAGTGTAGCCAGTCTTATGTTCTTAACAATTCTATACATTTTCTGTATGGTCAGCCAGGGGATTGAAATGTCAGTGAGAGCTCAGTTTAGACTGCTTTGCTCATTTTCAGGTGTTGGAGTCTAACAAGAATGCATCACTAGGCTCAGTTGGCTGCAAGATCAAAGAAAAAACATTTTATTGTCTTCCTACTCATTTCATCAGGCTGGTCTCTGCCCCCTCAAATAGCTAAGATGAATTGTAAATAAAACTTTACTTATAGACAAAAGCAATTGCAATATTAACAAAAAGACACGAGTCCTCCTTTATAAAGAACAATCTCAAATAATACAAAATATATAGGTTTAAACCAAAAAGTAGATTTTAAAACATCATGCAAAGAATATTTAGAAAAAGAGGGGAGAGGAAATGACATCTAAAGCTCACTTCCAACATTAAAAATGCTAACAGCAGCAGGGACCCAAAAATTAAACCAAATATAAATAAACTCTTGTAAATTCACTGTACAAGGTGACTAAAATCCAGTAAGGAAATAAATAATGGTCCTATTGGTTCCTTTAGCTTGCAAGAGTTTCAATTTAGTTGATTTTGCTTTTCTACACAAGTAGTATTGGGCTTTTCAAAAAGTTTCTATACTTGTGCACAGCTACATAGGAGAAAACAGATGCCCAAAATATTCCATAAGATTCAGTCAGACTGGGTTGACAGATTGCTGCAACCCTTATCCCAGGGTTTTTTCAATGTGAACTTACTGTTATTACTCCAGTCCAATTCAGCTAGGCCAGTATTCTCTGTGACTCCACAAACTGGTCTTGATCCAGTCTGGGCTGGTTAGGCTGAACCTTATGCACTCTCTCATTGTGGCCTACCCAGGATTGATCCCACTTGAGATCTCCTCAAGAGATATTTCAGCAATGATCCAAAAAAAGCTGGCTTCTTGTCCACATCTCTCACCATTTTTAATCCAATATGGCTACACACCGAGATTTCCCACAATATTGATCCAGTTCAGATTGGCCAGGCAGTGCCCTAAAAATCTCTCACCTGCAGATCCTCTTCTCACAGAATTTCTCACCCAATCCAAAAAACTACTCCCATTGATGGAGACCAGCGTTGGCCAGACTCAACTGCCCCATGTTTCTCCAGCCCTTCAGGAACAGATTTCCACCAGAATATATCCCATTCCAACCAGCTGTTACACTCTCAGCTCAGACTGGACAGTACTCCTCACCCCAAGCACCGCTCACTCTCAAAACTCCCCAAAACTGATCTACGCCAGGGTCCCCAGTACTCAGAACTACCGGCCTCCTCACCTGGGAACTCCATGCTCATTTAAGTAAGAGACCCCCCCACTCCACCTTGACTGCCCCCTGTGACCTCGTCCCTGTCCCCCGACTTCTTGAACCCAAGGCTCCTGCTGTCAACCGAGGCTGGGCCCGCCTCCCAGCCCCTCACCCATAGTTTCTGTGGTGCTGCCCATCCCCAGTGCCCCTGCGCCCCCTCCCGCTGCATGTTCCCAGTTCCAGTCCAAGTAAGGAGCCGATGCAGCTCCCCCAGCCTCCTTCACCTGCTGCTTCCCCCGTCTAGCTCTGACCCACCCGCCACCCCCGCGGCTGCACCCTGACCCCTCGCTGTTGGTCCGCTCCAGGCCCGCTCAGCCCCTCACCCGCGGACTCCCCGGTGTTGATCCAGTCCGGGTTCGCCAGGCTCGCGATGGCGAAGATGTCGGCGGCCAAAAAGAGGCATCCTGAGATGATGGTCAGTTTGTCCATCTCCTCCGGCTCCGGCGGCTCCCGGCTCCGGCCTCCGCCCGGCTCCCACACCGGGCCCGGGCCGGAGGCGTTTCACAGCTGCGGCTCCATGAGACCTCAACTCCCACCCTGTCTCTGGCAGCGGCACCAAGAATGGGAAACCCCCCCCCTCCCACTTCCCCGACAACACCGGAAGTGAACTAGGGCGCAACAAGGTGCTCCGGAAGTGAAACCCACTCTCCTTCACATTTTCCCTAGACGGGACCGGACTTTCACGAGGGGGCGGAGCCTCCACGGAGAGGAGGCGGGGATCCCGTGGGACTCGACAAGCCTTCTCCAGGGAGGAGGGGCGGAGCGCATAGTGCGGTGGGCGGGGTTTTTAAATGGGCGGGGCTTCTCCAAGGGGCGGGCAGGCGTGGGTGGGGGCGAGACATTGCGAATGGGTATTGGGGCGGGGCCTATCTAAGGGGGGCTGTCAGCTCGTAGGGAGCCTGGCCAGGCCTCCCCTCGGCGTAGCACAGGAGGGGAAGGGCTCGGAGCCGGAGTGTCTCCGCGCAGGGGAATGGAGGAGTTTTAGTGTGGGGAAGGGCTTTCTTTTAAGCGGACTTTGCGGGGTGGAGAAGCCCTTAGGCTGTTGGGAGGGATCTTATTTGTGGGGAAAAAGCTCCCCGTTTTGAGGGGGGGCTTCTCGTTTTGGGACGGGGAGGCTCCCTCTTGTGTTGGAGGGGACAAGTTCATCCTTCTGCAGTGGGGAATTGCTGCCCAGATGCAGGCAATCCACCCCATAATCCTTTTTGCTTGGCTGTGGAGTTTGGTACCCAATAGTCAAAGAATCGGAGGCACCTTAAATATGTAAATACCGAGGCACTGTTGCTTGGTTTGCTCCACTGTTCATTAAAAGGACTATGTAACTGAAGGCAGTGTGTCTGCTGGGGAGGATTGAGCTCTTATTTACTACAGACTTACTCATATGTGAGAGGAAATCTATATGTCTGTCTACCTATACAGTCTCCATTATTGTAGCATGTGAGCACTTCACAACATGCATCTGACAAAGTGCTTTTTTACCCATGTAAGCTTATGCCCAAGTAAATCAATTAGTCTTTAAGGTGCCACAGGACTCCTCAATAGTTTTGCGGATACGGAGTGACACGGCCACCCCTCTAATAATATGTGAGGATTCAACAATGTGGTACAGAAGTGACACTTCACCGGGCTCATATGTGCATTAGAGCTTAGGCAGGATTGGAGCTTTAGAAAGAGAATTTGAATTGCAGCCATTGGCAAAATTGCTGTGCTAGACTGAAATAATCCAGCCAATATAGCAATCAGTAGGAAATACCTAGCCAAACCTAAAACTTCCACTGCATCTGTCACTAATCAGGGAATATTGAAAGCTTTCAATATAGCAATCAGTAGGAAATACCTATCCAAACCTAAAACCTCCACTGCATCTGTCACTAATCTAGGGAATATTGAAAGCTTGAATCCTGGCCAGTGTGTATGTGTGTCTACAGCATTATGAAACTTTTATGTTCTTCCATAGTTGAAGACTGTAGAAGTCTCAGAACCTGGCAGTTCTAGGATTCTAAACAGTTACTGGGTGTTTGAAAGATCTGTCAAGCCTGCTGCTGTGTTCTTCCCTCCCAGGCCACCATGGAGAGACAGCTGCTTTCAAAGAGACACGCCTGAGGCATTTGTTGATTTGATTTTTTTAATAGTCTGGGATCCATGGAAGGTGCAGAAGCTTCTGATACATCGGCAGGTGAGAATAAAACCAGAATGAGTTTTAATTCCCTTCCATCCTGTTGTCTCCCTTCCTTTTCTCCCATCTTCCCACCACCACCCCTGAACTTCAGGAAAAGCCCAAACTCTGCATTTGAAGGGTCTCCAAGATTTGGAGATACCACGGTATCTATGACCAGATTACTTGTCCACTTCTTAGATCTTTGTCACTCCACTTCTCTTTGGCATCCAAAGACAATTTTTTTTGGAGGAGAGGAGAGCGGAGTAGTTCAATACATATTGAATTCTCATGACAACTGGAGTGGGATACAGGGCAGTTGGCCAGAGGAGAGAATGTTGCTTCAGGAGAAGAGAGCTGGATAGTATGTCATTCAGAAAACCTGCAGAATTTAGTGTTGGCCCTGTAGAGCTTTATGAAAAATGTAGTGGTACTGCAGAGTAAGATTTGTAAAGCTGCCAATTCTCT